ATGACAGCCGTGTGTTCCGTACACGAGTCTCACACTGACAGCGCATGCGCACAGCTTTCCTTTCCTGTTTGACAGGCCATACTCGTCCTCTCTCTTGTCTCCCTTCTTCTTTTGTCAGGAGGTTCCTATTATATAATGTCTACTTAGCAGGAAAGTGAAATGTCAATAAAATAAACTACCAAAAATACAAATTGTTTGCATCGACATTTTCTACATCAACCTTTTACTTACTAAATCTAAAATACAACAGCAGAAATTCCCACGTGAACTACAATGAAAATATAAATAAAACACTACCACATAAGTAGTCTTTACTTTAGTATTCACACCTAAGCCATTTTCTCACCTGAGAACAGCATGTCCCATACACAAGAATCACTTCCCATGACAGCACATGGGTTTTGTTTTCCTTTCTTCCTTGGTAGGACATAGGTAACATCTTCCTAGTCTTCCTCTTTTCTTAGGAGGTTCTTGTAATGTTTAATCTGTTTGTTCACCAGTCTGCTCCAGAATTCTTTTGAGGGCTTCTTTGACAGATATGTACTGTTCTACCTCTGTTATAATTTATTATTTATCAATTCCAATCCCAGTCCTTGTAAGAAAATTTCTCTGTGGTATTTTGTGCTTGCTGTCTAACTCTGACTCTCTCTCTGTCTCTCTCTGTCTCTCTCTCTGTCTTTCTCTCTCTCTCTCTCTCTCTCTCTCGTTATTGTTGGCCTTTTTTTTTTTGAGTCAGTGTCTTGTGTGTAGGTCAAATATTTGATATTACTGTTTTCTTCTTCATTTGAATTAAGGGCTTCATTCTGTACTTCTCTATCTGTCATATTTTGGTTGTATCTGTCATATCTGCTAATTTCTTTGGCTTACATGATCCAAGTCATCATTGGTAGACAAATCACCTGATGACTCACTTTCAACCTCCTTCTGAAGTTGTTAAAGCAGATTTTCTTACAATGTTGTACTAAATTAGTCTAATTCTACAAGAAAAATCAAAAGAAAAAATTTGATAAAAAATTATAAATATACAAAAATGTAACAGCATATAATATGAGTAAAACTTACCTGTTCACACAATGCACATGCTGGATATGGTGGTGTGTGCCTGTAGTACCAGCACTTAGCAGGCTGAAGCAGAAGGATCACCATGCGTTTGAGGTCAGCCTCAGCTACATAAGCAAGATCAAGGCCAGCCTAAACTGTATAGTAAGACCCTGTCTCACGAAAAAAGAAAAAAAAAAAAGCTTGACACAGATGTAAACACATCTTGCCATTTGTCGTATCAAGTGAGTGAATACAAAGGTTGCTTTTGGGATCCCCCCAGCAGTTACAAGACACCCACCATTATGCTGAAGTGTATCTTTTCATTGGAAAGTATGGTATGGCATCTATGACGCAGTATGAGGAATAGAGGTTAATACCTCATGATGGTGATTAAATTTCTGCATATAAAGACTTGGGGGGGTCGGGGGCTGAGGATTTAGCTCAGCGGCATAAGCACCTGCCTTGTAAGCAGGTGGTTGTGAGTTCGATCCCTGGTACTGATAAAAGATTAAAAAAAAAAAAAAATTGGGGGGGACTCACTCGGCCATATCCAAACCGTAGCACCCTATGGTTTATCAGTTTCTGCAGAGAAGCCACAGTGATTTCAGTTAAGACAGGGATTGCCTTGACATTGTGTATTTGTGTTCATTGCTCTCTGAACAATCCTGCCTTCCAGTGCATGAACATGGAATGTCTTTCATTTATTTAGGGCTTCTCTAATTTCATTTAACAGTGTTTTCTCCTTTAAAGTATATAGGTTGGTAGCCAGGCCTGGTGGCACACACCTATAATCCCAGCACTTGGGAAGCTAAGACAGGAGAATCACTGCAAGTTTGAGACCAGCCTGGGTTACAAAGTGAGCTTCCAGGCCAGCCTGAACTGCATATCAAGACCCTGTCTCACAAAGACAAAATAAAATAAAATAGGCAGCTGGGCATGGTGGTACATGCCTGTAAACCTAGCATTTAGAAGTTTAAGGCAGAAAGATCACTGTGAGTTAGATGCCAGCCTGGGCTACATCCTAATACCCTATCTCCAAAAAACCCAAAATAATAAAAATAAATTTAAAAAATTAAATATGTAAGTCTGGCATTCCTTTTGTTACATTTACTCAATTTTGTTCTATTTGGTGCTACCATAAGTGGTGTTATTTCTATAACCCATTTTCAGGTTGTCCATTGCAAATGTATACAAATACAACTGTGTTTTGCATATTGGTCTTACATCTGTAATATAGTTGTACTCACTCGTTCCTATAGTTGCTTTGTTTTGAGATATATCAAAATTCACAAAATCGTATTGCTTGCAAATGGAGATAGTTGTATATCTCCCTCTCTAATCCAAGTGCCTTTACTTGGTTTTCCTGCTTGGTTGCCTCTAACTAGAACCTCCAGCACAGTGTTGAAGAGGGGCGGTGAGAGCAGATGTCCTTACTTTATTCCTGTTCTTACAGGGAGGTGGATTGTGGTCCTTAGTCTGCTGTTGGTATTGGACATGGCACAGATGTGCTTTACACGATGAAGATTATTAAATGTTTTTAATTATGAAAGATACTACATTTTGTCAAAGGCTCCTTCTGCATCTTTTGAGATGATCATTTGTTTTTCCTTATTCTATTAATCTGAGTTACTCTGTTTTGGAGACAGGGTCTTGCTGTGTAGTTTAGGTGAACTATGAAGCCCAGGCTGCCCTTGGACTCACCAATATACTCCTGCCTTAGCCTCTCAAGTGCTGGAATTACAGGAATGCACCACAATGCCTGACTTAATTTGTCTATTGCATTGATTGATTTTTTTAAAGATTATACTACTGTATATTCTAGGTTGACCTTGAACTCACTGTGTAGTCCAGGCTGGTCTTCAGTTCACCACAATCCTTCTACCTCTGCTTCCTGAGTACTGGAATTACAGGCATGCACCACCATGCCAGGCCTTTTTTTTTTTCTAATTATTAAATTTCATTGTGGTAAATTTAGTCAGAGTTTTGTATTTGTAATGGATCAGTATGGGTTATTTGTGTTTTTCTAGGAATTTATGCATTTCAACTAGGGTAGTTAATTTTTTTCTAAATCTGTGTTTCACTGTATTGCCAAGACTGACTGGGCTCAAGCAATCCTCCTGTCTCATCCTGCTGAATACTGAGACTAGAGGCCCACTCTCCAGGCCCAGCTTGGCTACCTAATTTGTAGATTTGTAGTTGTTTATAATATTTATAACTCTGTTCTGTGGTGATAGGACTAAAATCTTCTTTTTTTCTGTGTATGATGACACAAGGAAGGCTGTGATGTGAGCAGAACAATTTCCCACAAGCAGAATAAACACAGAAGGAAATTTGCTGTGAGTGACAGCAAGACAGCCAGGAAAGGGAACTACACCTGAGCCTAGAGGGGCTGGAGGGAGGTGTAGGGGAGCTGTTGGCCATTTGAAAACACATCCTTGCTTGTGAAAGGCAACAGGATAGAGTGTTCTTGTGTTTCTGGGAAAGTTTGAATCCTGGCAACTTGAAATATTGGTTGTCAGGCATGTACCAAATCATAAGAAATGTTCTCATTGTACTGTCCACAATGAATGATGCTTTATTTTACTGTTTTCCACATCATCTTACTTATTTTAATAAATTGAGTCTTCTCTTTTCTGTAGGTCATTCTAACTAAAAGATGGTCAATTTTGTTAATCATCTCAAAAAATCAACTTTTATTTTTGAAGTTTTCTATTTTCTACTTAATTTATTTAATTTAACATTTCTTTATTATTTCCTCCATTTGTTTTGCTTGGATTTACTGTAGTTTGCTCATCTTTTTCTAGTTTTGTTTGTTTTTTTTGTTTGTTTGTTTGTTTTACTTTTTGTCTTTTTGAGACAGGGTCTCACTATGCAGTTCAGGCTGGCCTCGGGCTCACTTTGTAGCCCAGGCTGGTTTGTAATTTGCAAACAGTTCTCCTGCCTCAGCCTCCCAAATACTGAGATTATAAGAGTATACCACCACGCCCAGCATTTTTCTAGTTTCTTACAGTGGGAGATTAGGTTATTAATTTGAGATATTCCTTGTTTTTTAATATAAATTGTTTGTCTGTGTTTTGGTACCAGGTACTGAACTCAGTTCAGTACCTGGTACCAAATGCCTTGTGCTTGCCAGGCAGGCACTTATGCCACTGAGTCCTGTTTGTTTTGAGACAGGTTCACACTTTGTAATTGAGGCTGGCCTCCAACTCACTATCTAGTCCACACTGGCCTTTAACTCATAGCAGTGCTCCTGCCTCACTCTCCCCGTGCTAGGATTGCAGATGTGTCCCACCATGTCTAGCTGTAATTTACTTTCGTAATCTCCTTTTTGGCCTACTGCTATTTAGGAGTGTTTTAATTTCTGTTTATTTGTGAATATTGAAAATTTCCCATCATTGATTTCTAATTTCACTCCACTGTTGTTGACTTCAATCCTTTTGTTGAGATTTATTTTATGTCCAACCAATCCCAGAGGATGCTCCATGTCCACTTAAGAAGAGTACATCCTCCTATCGCTGCAAAGTGTTCTATAAATGTCTTTGAGGCCTAGTGGGTTTATAATGCTGTTTAAATCTTTTGTTTCCTTTTTGAACTTCTGTCTACTTGTTCTGTCTGTTAATGAAAGTGGGGTATTGAAGTGTCCAGCCATCATAATTGAATTGTCAGTTTCTCCTTCAATTTGGTCAATCTTTGATTCATGTATGTCTTAGTTACTTTTGTCATTGCTGGAACAAAATAACTGACACCCGCACAGGAAGAGAGAAAAAGTTTATTTAGTGCACAGTTTTTAGAGGTTGCAGCCCTAGTCAGCTGGCTCTAAAGCAGGGTGGCAGGGCAAAGGGGCCTGGCAGAGGAGAAACAGTCCTGGCATGGCGAGAAGAAGGCAGGAAACAGCAGGCAACCTCTAGAGCTATTTGGGTTTTTTAAAACTTTTTTCAATGTTTTTTATTTTAATGCAGATTCCTGTATCAAGCCTGAGGGACACAGTCCTGGAACTTGCAGTATTTGATCAGCACAGAAGAAAGTTTGATAACTTCAGCTCTCTAATGCTACGATGGAAATCTTCCAATGAAACACTAGCCCATTTGGAAGATTTTGTATCAATGGAGATGGTAGCCAAAGATGATGGCAGTGGGCAGGCCCGGGCACATGGTAATGTGAAAGTTACAATCTTCTCTTCTCCTTCTCTCCTCTCCTCTACTCTTCTCTCCTCTCTTCTCCTCTCCTCCCCTCTGTTCTCCACTCTTCTCTCCTCTCTTCTCTCCTTTTCTCTCTTCTCCTCTCCTCCCCTCTGCTCTCCACTCTTCTCCCCTCTCTTCTCCTCTCCTCTTCTTTTCTCTCTTCTCCTCTCCTCCCCTCTGCTCTCTACTCTTCTCCTCTCCTCTCTTCTCCTCTCCTTTCTTCATGTCTCCTCTCTTTTCCTCTTCCCTCCCTGTCCTGTCCCTTGCTTTCTTATTTTAATTTTAGTTTTTATTTTTTTGCTTGATGTGGTGACACACACCTGTAATCCCAGCACTCAGGGGACTGAGGCAGGAGCATTGCTTCAATTTTGAGACCAGCCTGGGCTACAAAGTGAGTTCAAGGCCAGCCTGAACTGCATAGTGAAGCCCTGTCTCAAAAAGACAAAAAAAAAGTTCAAAACCTAATTTTTTGAGACAGAACCCTGTGTCCTGTGTAGCCCAGGCTGGCCTCACACTCAGTGATACTGCCTCTACCTGGTGAGTGCTGGGATTCCAGGCATTTGTCACCATGCCCAGCTACAAAGCCTTTCCTATACCATGCTTTCTAAATGGCTCACACTAAGTATTTCCTTATAGATGACAGTTTTACTTTAGACTTTATTGTGTATAACCTTTCATATTTTATTTATTTACTTTTTTCAGAAACATACTAGGTAGATTTTCTTGTTTGCAAAACCTAGATCTAACATTTCTCAAAGAATATAATATTTAAATTAATTTAAAATGTTACCCTTACTTCTCTAACATTAGGGAAGTATTATTTATTGTTAGCAAATATTTATTGAATAGCTACTATAATATCACACCCTCTGCTAGGCACTGGAACTATAATGATGAGTTAAAACAGACATAACCACACCTAGTAGATTAATATTTTATCAGTACTGTATTGGATAATGGCAAATTCAGGGTGCCTGGAGAGCTTCTAATAGGGGGGCCTAGCTGAAAGGAAGCAGAAAAGGCGATATATCTCTGCTGAGACCCAAAGGGGTAGTTGTTTTGAGGAAACAGCAAGACTGGGTTGAAGAAAGCTGGGTTAGATAAGGGACAAAGACACGAGACAAGGGCAGCAAGACCCATATGCCAGCGTTCATCAGACCTCTATTTGTGGCACACAGCTGATACCCATCGTTAAAAGGTCACCTGGCCAAACCAGAAGCAAGGTGGCTGAGGACCACACAAGGGCGTAATCCACTGTGGGTCACTAATAGAATAGACCTCCACACACACACACTGAGAGGGTAAAGGAGAGGCAGTGAGAAAGGTGACTTCACTCCACAGAAAGTGCAACAAGAGTTAACCCATTCCCTACCCACAGTCCCAAGTACAATTAGTGTTAGTTCCTAAATATCATTTGGCCTCTATTGATTGACTGGTTGATTGATTGTCACAGTGATTCTCCTGCCTCATCCTCCCCAAAACATGCTGAGATTACAAGCATGTTCCACCACACCTAGCTATGTCTTTTGTTTCATCCCTTCTTTTTCAGCTCTGAAAATCCTTATCACCTCTACTACATTACCACAGTAGCTGCCTAACACTAGTGTCTCATCAGGTACCTCTCTTCTCCAATCCATCCTCCATTCTAGTACTCTGGGTGATCATTCTAAAATGTGTTTCTAAACCTATCTCTCAATAGAGAGAGAGAGACAGAGACAGAGACAGAGTGTCTCACTATGTAGTTCAGACTGGCCTTATCACTATATATAGTGATAAGTTGTCCAGGCTGCTGTCCTCAAATTTGCAATGATCCTCTTGCCTCAGCCCCCTGAGTGCTGGGATTATAGGCATTACCCACCACACCCAACATGAATCTCTCACTTAACCTTTTTTGTTCCTATCTACTGACTTCTGCCGACTATATATGAGACAAATCCCTGCATACATTTTCTGTTTATACTTTCTCATGTAAATTTACCCATTTATCAAACATATATTTAGTTTTTTTTTTGTCTTTTTCTTTTTTTATCGGTACCAGGGATCAAACTTACGATCACACACTTGCAAGGCAGGTGCTTATGCCGCTGAGCTAAATCCCCAGCCCCATATATTTAGTTATTATCATACCACACAGCCTTAGGACCTAAGGTTACTATAGTAAATAGATGAAGCTCTTGGACATGATGGCTCACACCTATAATTTCTGCATTTGGAAAGCTGAAGTAAAATGGTCATCATGAGTTCAAGGCCAAGCTGGACTATAAATTGAAATCCTGTCACAAAGAAACAAAACAAAACGGAACAGCAACAAACAATGATAAATAGATAAGAATTTTAGTTTTTGCCTTGCCCAATTCCTCATTTAATAAAGGAACTGATAGAAAAATTGGTTGGTTAGGGTCATATAGGAATATAGTGACAGTGCCAGCAAAACCCCACTATTATATTTCCTTGTATATTTCCCCCACTTAATGTTTTTTTTTCTCCTGCAATAAAACAGTTTGGAATAGTTAGCATGGTGTTGCACGCCTATAATCCCAGTACTTGGAAGGCTGTGGCAGGAGGGTCACTGGTGAGTCTGAGGCCATCCTGGGCTACATAGTGACTTAAAGTCCAGTCTGAACTGCAAAGCAAGACTCTGTCTCAAAAAAATTGGAGAAATTGTGGCAGAATTTAGTTTCCTGTAGACATTTTGTATTCTGTCTGTTTTTATTTCTCAGAGTATTTTCTTCCACGTTTTCAGGTCATCAGATCCTTAAAGTACATCAGATAAAAGGGACTGTATTCATTGGAGTCAGTTTTGTGGGATATTCAGAGAAGAAAAGCCCAAAGGTAAGGAGAGTCTGTGATATAAGAAACATAGCCAAGCCAGGCATGGTAACATATATGTGTAATCCCAGTACTCAGGAGATAGAAGCATGAGGACCACTATGAATTTGAGGCCATCCTGAGCCACACAGTAAATAAACTTACTTGAATTACATAGCAAGACCCTGTCGCAACGAAACAAAAAAGAAACATAGCCTAACCTCAGGTACGGTAATAAATCTACTGTAGATGGGGTAGAAGGATCACAGTTTGGAATCTAGCCTGGGCAACTTAGCAAGACACTGCCTCAAATTTTTTAAATGGGTTGACTATAACTCAGTGCAAAGACCCTGGGTTCAATGCTCAGCACACTCAAAATTAAATTTTTAGGTGTGGTGGCAAATAACTGTAACCTCACCACTCTGGAGGCTGAAGCAGGAGGATCACTATGAATTCAAGGCCATCCTAGACTACATAGTGAGTTCAAGGAAAGCTTGAGCTACATAATGAAACCCTGTGTCAAAAAATTAAAAGTAATAAAAGCTGACAATGTAGGTCTGTGCTCAAGTACCCTGGGTTCAATCACCAGTGCATGACTAAATAAATAATTTTTTTGTCTTTTTCTTTTTTTTTTTTCAGTACCGGGGATCGAACTCATGACTGCCTGCTTCCAAGGCAGGCGCTTATGCTGCTGAGCTTAATCCCCAGCCCCAATAAATAATTTTTTTGACATAAGGTCTTTTATCTGTAGTTCAGACTGACCCTGAACTCTACAGCCCATGCTGGCCTTGAACTCACCATGGTCGTCCTGCTTCAACTTCCCAAGTGCTGAGATTATAGGTGCGCACCACCATTCCTGACAAGGCTCTTCTTTAAAAGTTGTTTATAAGTAATGTAAATCTGAGAACTATACTCCCCTGTGATTCTGTTGTCTTTGGCACTTGAGTGAGTACAGGAATTTCTCCCACTGTGCTCAGGAATTAGAAATTTATGTTCATTTACCTCTGTGGGTTTCACTGCATGGCTAGGACATTTCCAATGTGCCCAGATCTGCAACTGTGGAGCTGCTCCTGGTGGATGATGTGACTGTGTTGCCGGAGAATGCTACCATTTACAACCACCCTGATGTGCAGGTAGACACTTTATGAATCTAGTAAGTGCAATCATATTACAGAGAGGACTTTATATTTCACAGTATAACAATTTTACTCATCTGTTTAATAAAGTTAATTGCATACTTTCTTTTTTTAGCTAGAATATTCTTTTTTTTTTTATACCAGGAATTGAATCAGGACATCACGCTTGCCAGGCAAGCACTGCACTGCTGAGCTATACCCCAGCTATCATATTAAAAGTTACACTTTATTAATCATTTTGGTTTTTGTCCGTTGACATAAATCTTTTAATATCATACTGTTTCTAGACAGACGTTTTTCTTTGAGCTGTTTGTAAACAGAAGAGTATGCCGTCATTGGTCTGCTTTTTCCATAGGAGGTATTCAGCCTTGTGGAAGGGTCTGGTTACTTTGCAGTCAGCAGCCGGGAGCAGGGCATCGTCACCATCACTTACAGAGAAGCAGAGAGCTCAGTGCAGGTGAGCGGAAGGATGTTCCAGATTGATGGTCACAGACTGAAGCTCCTTCTTCACTGAAGGAGTGGGAAAATTCCCTCTTGTGTATAAAACTTGGTACAAAAGTAACAGTTCAGCCTAGTCAGGGCAACTCAGTAACTTAGCGAGAACCTGTCACAAAGCAAAGAAATAAAAAAGATTGCAGATGGGGAGTCAGCATCAAGAATAGGTGAATCCTCATACCATGAAAAAGCAACATTGGCCTCTTTCCATCTTCAACCTGTAGACTCTTCAGCCAGAAATAAGGGCTTTTCCTGTAGCTGCCTACAGCACTGGGCACAGTTATATGAGACATATAATTAGAAAAGTTCCACAAAAGGTTCATTTTTATAAAGTTCAAAACACATAACTGTATCAATATTTAAATGTACTATTGCCGGGAGGCTGAGGCAGAAGAATCACTATTGAGTTCAAGGCCATCCTGGGTTACATAGTGAGTTCAGAGCCAGTGAGAACTACATAGGGAGACCCTGTCTTAAAATTAAAAAAAAAAATGCCCGCTTCAGCAGCACATGTACTAAAAATAAGTAAAGGAAAACAAAATAAAATACCAGTACATAGGAGTCTAAGACAGGTTTATGATTTCAAAATGCTGGGCTATATAGTAAGTTCAAGGCCAGGCTTTTCTGTACATAGTGAGACTGTGTCTCAAAACCAAACAAAACAAGCCAGGCATGGTGGTGAATACTTGCAGTCCCAGCACTTGGGAGGTTGAGTCAGGAGGATCTCTTTATTTCTGAGTCCAGACTGAACTACATAATGAGACCCTAACTCCAAATGAACAACAAAAAGCCATACTTAAGACAAGCTGAAGACAAGTTGTGTGGATTGAATTCCCCTTAAATTCAGTCAACTTAAACTCTGTTCTTTATCAGTTAATATTTAAGGTGTTTATTATTCCATAAACTGAAATATTATTTTCAGGTTACATACTATGCTGAGCCTCTACCATCTAACCTGACCTCTGAGAGTTCCCCTCTCAAAAGAAGTAAGATATATGATCTGCTTGAGATGAAAGCAGTTGCTGTGATTATGACTGGAACATGTTTTCTGTTTTACCAGCTGCCATCTTTCTTGTAGGTAGTTCCTGTACAGCCCGGATCTCTCACCTTGGAAGTCTATGATCTGTGCCTGGCTTTCTCTGGTCCAGCAAAAGCCCACCTGAGGATATCAGACATACAAGAGCTGGAGCTCGATCTGATTGATAAGGTGAGAGGTGCTGCCTTCAATTCAGAAGGAAAACCAAACTGGGTGTGGTGGCTCACATCTGTAATCCCAGCACTTGGGAGGCTGAGGCAGGAGGATTCTTGGGAGTTAGAGACCAGCCTGGGCTACAAAGTGAGCTCAAGGCCAGCCTGAACTGCATATTAAGACCTTGTCTCAAAAAGACAAAAAAAAAAAAAAAAAAAAAAAGGAAAACCAGCTTCCTCTCATTCCCCAGCATCACTTACTGTATCTCAGCTCAACTACTGTGTGTGTGTCAGGACTTTTAGTAAGTTAGTGGGAGAATTTTCCTTAAATAACACCATTCAGGGGCCTGCATGTAGTCCCAGGAGCCAAAAGTGTGTGAGTTGATTCCCAGCACACAGGGGAAGCTTTGGAACATCACTCTCAGTTGGTATGACCACACCCAGCATCCAAATCACCGGAGGATGCACCAGAGGTCTCTTTGGGCCTAACTGGGCCATGCCCAGTGACACCAAGTGGCTAGCATTGTCTGCAGTCTACCCCAAGAGCCAAAAGTGGGCCAGGAGATTCCCAGTGCATGGGGGAAGCTTTGGAACATCACTCGAAACCCAGAAATATAGGAAAATGACAAAATGAAAGAGCAAAATGCAATCTCAAAAAACTTCCAGCCTAACCCAACCAAGCCTAGGAGACATGGATACAGAAAAAAATATAAGCCATACTCCTGAAATTCCTGAAATGATAACAGCTGAAGTAAAGAAACAACTCCAGGAAGCTATAAAAGAACTCAGATCAGAAATAACCTCCCAGGTAAAAGAAGAAATGATAAATGTAATTAAATAAATGATTAACACATATAAAGGAAGACATAGTTAAAAAAATTAGAGGAATAATGTGAAAAGATGGAAATTCTGAATGAACAGTATAAGAAACAAACAATGCATGAAGCAGATTCAAAGAGATATACAGGAAGTCAAAAATTCCATTGAAAGTTGGCAAAACCACCTCAATGAAATTGAAGATAGAATTTCAGACCTTGAAGACAAGATTCCAGTTAGTGAACAGGAAAGATCTTTTAAAAATAACAAAGAGGGGCTGGGAATTTAGCTCAGCTGCATAAGCGCCTGCCTTGTAAGCAGGCAGTCGTGAGTTTGATCCCCGGTACAGATAAAAAGGAAAAAGACAAAAATAAAAATAACAAAGAATTAGAAATAACAGTTCAACAGCTGCAAAATGAAACAAAGAAAAGCAACGTAAGATTGATAGGTATACATGAAAAAGAAGGTGACAACACAAATGATATCGAGGCTATTTACAGAAATATAGTTGAAAATTTTCCAAACATGAGAATGGAAACTGACATACAGATCAGTGAAGCATATAGAACTCCAAATAACCATAACCAAAATAAAACTACACCCAGACATGTAATAATCAACATCCCACAAATCCAACATGAGAACAGAATATTAAAAGCTGCTAGAGAGAGGAGACAGATATATAAAGGAAAGCCTATCAGAATCACAACAGACTTCTCAACACAAACAATGAAGTCAAGAAGAACATGGAGTGAGGTATTTCAGATCCTAAAGGAAAATGACTTCCAACCCAGACTGATGTACCCTGAAAAACTGTCCTTCAAAATGGATGGAGAAATATGATACTTCCATGACAAAGAACAGCTGAAGAACTTCATGACCACCAAACCAACCCTGCAAAGAATACTGAAAGACATTCTAGATAGACATAGGAAAAAATCACTAAGCAAGGCAAACAAACAAAGTGAAAAGGTAAAGAATCAACAGAAGATAACATGTCAAAAGTAAACCAATATATAATAGTTATAACCATTAATGTAAATGGCCTCAATTCACTAATTAAAAGAAACAGACTGACAGACTGGATCAAGAAAAAACATCCAAACATATGCTGTATACGAGAAACCCATCTAACCCCAAAGTAAACTCATAGACTGAAAGTCAAAGAATGGAGAACAATACTCCATGCAACAGGATCTCCCCAAAAAGCAGGGGTAGCTATTCTGTTTTCAGACAATGTGAAGGTTGGTTGAAGTCAAACCAAGAATGATCCAAATAGATCAAGAAAGTCACTACATACTACTTAGGGGGAAAACTTCAAGAAGAAGAGATAACAATCTTAAATACATATGCATCAAATTTGGGAGCACCCAGCTGTACAAAACAAATATTAACCAAAATGAAAAATCAAATAAGCAATAACACAGTTATAATAGGAGACCTTAACACACCATTGACACAAAGGGACAGATCAACTAGACAGAAAATCAGCAAAGAAATAACAAACTGAATCACATCTGTGAACAAATGGACTTGGCGGATGTATATGGAGTGTTCCACCCAACATCAGAATATACATTCTTCTCAGCAGAACATCAAACATTCTCTAATATAGGCCATATACCAGCCCACAGAACATGCTTAAGTAAATGCAAAAGAATTGAAATTATCCCATGCATATTATCAGATCATAGCACCATGAAACTAGAAATTAATGACAAAAAAACCTGCAAAAACCCCACAAACACATGGAAATTGAATAATACACTCCTGAGCAATCAATGGGTCACAAAGGAAATTAAAGAAGAAATTAAGCAATATATACAAGCAAACAAAAATACAAATACATCTTACCGGAATCTGAGGAACACAATGAAAGCAGTCCTCAGAGGAAAATTTATTGCAGTGAATTCCCACATCAGGAAAACAGAATCAATACAAATAACCTGATGCTACACCTCAGACATCTAGAAAAAAGAAGAGCAAGTCAAGTGCAAATCCAAAAGAAGGCAGGAAATTATAAAAATCAGAGCAGAAATTAACACAATAGAGACTAAGAAAACAATCCAAAGAATTAATGAATCAAAGAGTTGGTTCTTTGAAAGAATAAATAAAGTTGATTGTAGGGAGCAGCTCAGAATGGCTGCTGCTGCCCTGCCCCCTCCCACCTGAGGGCATTTTGTGTGTCAGCCTACATTTCCCATGATCCTCATGTCTGCCTACATTACTCATAATCCTCTCCTGCTTATGTCATATATCCGGATGTGACGATGACCTATCAGATAAAACTCTGTGCCCTCTTCCTGCCCCATTGGCCCGCCTCCACCCTATATAAATTGTAGCCATTTTAAGAATAAATGAGACTCGATTGGAATCTCAACCTGTCTCCATCTCTCTTTCCTCTTGCCCAGCCCCCATCTCCATCCCCTCTCCAGTTCGAGACCCACGGACCGATCCGCGGGACGGATCAGTTGATATGCCTCTAGCCAACCCTTATTATAAAAAGGAAAGAAAAACTCAAATTCATGCAATAAATAATGAAAGGGGTGAAATCACTAAAGACCCTGTGGAAATACAGAAGATCATCAATACCTATTTCAAAAACCTCTACTCTCATAGACTTGATAATATAGAAGAAATGGACAGATTCCTAGAAACATATGAAATACCAAAACTGGGTCAAGAAGACGTAAAACTGGCGCCTGGCCATAGGTCTGCAGAGGAGGAGCTGGGCAGATCTGGGGTGCCCTCACTGGCCTCTCTGCGTGTCTGGAGGACTCTGGATATCTGCGCCCAGACTGCTGGAGTTCCCTCAGGCTTCCAGGTGCAGTGAAGGAGAGAGGTGGGTTTGAGGCTTCCACATCAGCCTCCCCATTCCTGGCTTCATTTGGAGACCTGCTGAGCTCCCGATAGGTGGGCTGGCCCACACTACCAGCCTAGCCCAGCCTGTTTAGCTGCCGCGCCTGGCCATAGGTCTGCAGAGGAGGAGCTGGGCAGATCTGGGGTGCCCTCACTGGCCTCTCTGCGTGTCTGGAGGACTCTGGATATCTGCGCCCAGACTGCTGGAGTTCCCTCAGGCTTCCAGGTGCAGTGAAGGAGAGAGGTGGGTTTGAGGCTTCCACATCAGCCTCCCCATTCCGGCTTCATTTGGAGACCTGCTGAGCTCCCGATAGGTGGGCTGGCCCACACTACCAGCCTAGCCCAGCCTGTTTAGCTGCCGCGCCTGGCCATAGGTCTGCAGAGGAGGAGCTGGGCAGATCTGGGGTGCCCTCACTAGCCTCTCTGCGTGTCTGGAGGACTCTGGATATCTGCGCCCAGACTGCTGGAGTTCCCTCAGGCTTCCAGGTGCAGTGAAGGAGAGAGGTGGGTTTGAGGCTTCCACATCAGCCTCCCCATTCCCGGCTTCATTTGGAGACCTGCTGAGCTCCCCATAGGTGGGCTGGCCCACACTACCAGCCTAGCCCAGCCTGTTTAGCTGCCGCGCCTGGCCATAGGTCTGCAGAGGAGGAGCTGGGCAGATCTGGGGTGCCCTCACTGGCCTCTCTGCGTGTCTGGAGGACTCTGGATATCTGCGCCCAGACTGCTGGAGTTCCCTCAGGCTTCCAGGTGCAGTGAAGGAGAGAGGTGGGTTTGAGGCTTCCACATCAGCCTCCCCATTCCCGGCTTCACTTGGAGACCTGCTGAGCTCCCGATAGGTGGGCTGGCCCACACTACCAGCCTAGCCCAGCCTGTTTAGCTGCCGCGCCTGGCCATAAGTCTGCAGAGGAGGAGCTGGGCAGATCTGGGGTGCCCTCACTGGCCTCTCTGCGTGTCTGGAGGACTCTGGATATCTGCGCCCAGACTGCTGGAGTTCCCTCAGGCTTCCAGGTGCGGTGAAGGAGAGAGGTGGGTTTGAGGCTTCCACATCAGCCTCCCCATTCCCGGCTTCACTTGGAGACCTGCTGAGCTCCCCATAGGTGGGCTGGCCCACACTACCAGCCTAGCCCAGCCTGTTTAGCTGCCGCGCCTGGCCATAGGCCTGCAGAGGAGGAGCTGGGCAGATCTGGGGTGCCCTCACCGGCCTCTCTGCGTGTCTGGAGGACTCTGGATATCTGCACCCAGACTGCTGGAGTACCCCCAGGCTTCCAGGTGCAGTGAAGGAGAGAGGTGGGTTTGAGGCTTCCACATCAGCCTCCCCATTCCGGCTTCATTTGGAGACCTGCT